ACACACACACACACACACACACACACACACACAATATGTATATTTGTAGTAGGTATTTTGAAGTAACTGCAAAGAAATTGTATTTGTTTTCAAACAGCCACACAAATTATATATATATTAGAGATATATAGTAATAAATATATATAGTGGGCTTCTCCCATGTATTAAACTATTTTAATTAATAACAACTCCTTGAAGCCCCTTTCATACATGCTAATTTTAGAAAAATAAAAATGTAATTTCCACTGTAGTGTACAGAAGATGGACTATACCAGATACTAAGCAAATTATGCCATGCAAAGCAGATTGAAATAATTAAGCAATATCTGCTACTATTTTATTTAGACATTTTTATATGGTGCTAAAGGTTGCCAGCAGTACTAGGGTTACCTACACAAGTTTGATTTTACTAGATGTTATATCCCTTGAGCCATGATACTAATCCCAGTCACAATAATAATTTGTTATATTGCAAAATAGCATTTATTACTTATCATTACCAATAACCGTTTTAGTAAATTGTAGTAAACTCATTAGTAACATTAGTACTGGCTACAAATAGCCAGCCTGTTCATAAATTAAATAGAACCACTAACTAATCTTTAGGGCCTAAACTCCCACATAAGAAGGTCTTGAGTTTCCTGCTATGTGATCATGTTTTCTTATGTTTTACTGTAAATACAGTTGTTTTCCTAAACGTCTGACCATATAATCATCTCAGTCCAGCATAAACACACTCAGAAAAGTCACAAAATGATTCCACAATAAAACATTATTTATTTTTTAATAAATGCTGTACTAATTATAGAAAGGCAGAAATCAGCTAGCTTATCACTGAAAATATAGCACTGTCCTATTAGTTTATGCTCTGTGGAAGATAGATATGTGATGAGGAAAGGTCCACTGATGCCTGTTACCAACCATGACAGAGCTACAGAGATTTACAATGCAGCATCAATCTTGTCAACTGGATTCTTAACACTGACTGCCGGACACTGGGGAAAAACACAAACTATGTTATGTGAACTCTTTTGTAATGCTGTTACTTTATATGTACCTAAATGCAAGGATATTTTCCACAGGAACTTACTTTTTGAACAAGTCTTGATGCCATGTTAAATATGTGAAGGACTTTGCCTATAAAAAAAGGAATGAAGGAATCATGTTAAAAAAAGATAAAACTACAACCCACATTTCATGGAGTGTTGAAAAAGAAAGCATGTCAACATTATCATTTCTCCTCTTCTGTGATATTCTGTTAGTCATGATAATTTAAATTAATTTCAGCCCATGCAATAGCAAAAGAAGGTGGGAATGCTCTATTTTTCTCTTGCAAGCAAACAGGAATTTTAAAGTTCACTAGGTCATATATCATCTGTAATGAGTCATAATCAACAGATGTCACGTGGAAGACCTCTCTCATCACAAGCCCTGTAATACTTTGATCCACAGGATAAGAATGTACTTTAAGACATACCCCAGTGCCTGTAAAAATATTACTTAAAATAATATACTCTGTTCTGAATTATTAAACATAAATAATCTTTTGTTTTATTAACTACATATGTATAATTTATGGAAGAAAAACGAGTTAGTTCATAGAGGGCACCCTGAATCTAAGAGCAAAATCTAGATTCCCAATAAAATAATTATTTTAAATTCATAGTAGAGAAGAAAAGGAATTTTATGACGCCATCCTATGTTAGATGATCTCCATATTTGAATGTGACCTGCAAAGAAGAAAAACGGGTGCTTCACTGCACTACTGAAAACTAGGGCTTACTTCATTACAAGAAGCATATACCAAAGGCCTGATTCAAAGTCCACTGAAGTCACTGGAAAGACTCCCACCAACTTCAATGGGCTTTACATTAAGTCTGAATAGTTGTCACTGTACTTAAAGTTGGGCAAAATACAGAGGGGGGGGGGAGGGAGTGAGAGCGAGCGCGCGCAATGAAAAGACCTGAAAAGTATCAGGAATGTAAAGCCTTGTTTTCTTTTTTTTTTCCAGTGAGATCTTTCCTGGAAATTCATACATGTGCACTGGGAGCAGTCGCAGCAATCAGAGACAGTGGTACTGTTTCCTTAACAAGATGCTCAATGCTCTCAAGTGTTTTAACTAAATTTGTGTTAAATATACAGGCTTAGGTAGATTGGAGGGGGGAACCCCTAATGTCCCGTCTCAAAACAGACTAGTCTCACCTGATAGACTTTTAATGCTGCAGGTACTACAGTTGTCAGTCTCAGTCTTAAATTTCTACAAATTAAAAAGACTGGGGCAATAATTTCAAAATAACTGATCATTTTGGATGTCTAAATTTCAATTTTTGCATAGTTTGATACACAGCTTGATTTTTCATTTCAGTCCACAATTCAAAATAAGAGAGCAGCTAAGCTACCACTTTGAAAAATAAACTCTAAAAGCCCCACTCTTTTCTGAGGCATTATACAGCATTATAAAGCAGTCAAAAAAAGAGAGAGAGAGGTGAAAATACATGCATCTTTTCTCCCTTTCAGGTAATCTTCAGAAGGTTTCAGATATAAATTTTATTAAAATATTTACATTTGGACTCTGTCACTCCAGACGCTTGTATCACAAAGCAAATATGAAAAAAGAAGATAAAGCACTATTTTTAAAAGACTTACAGGCTTCATTCTGTTGCCTAAAATAGCATCTCAACTTTAAGCAGATACAAATAAGATTACAGGCAGCCCTTGGACTTATGACACAATTGGTTCCTGAAAACCTTGTCTTAAGTTGAAACATAACTCGGAACCATTTTTCTCATAAGAAACGTTATAAAAGGGGGATTGGTTCCCGAACCAAGGCCCGATACCTTATTTTCACCAAAAATAACCCAGAATTTTGTACTCAGTCAATTATAGATGGTTAATATAGCTACATTAATGTATTTATATTGTAAATAGCAATCATATCGATTTGGAAGGACCTCTTTGAGGTGACTTTGCTGGACTTTTTGAAAGGCTCTTGGTTGGACTTGTTGAAGGGCTCTTGGCTGGAGTCTTCTCACGAGTTCTGGCTGCAGGTTTTTCTGGAGTCTTGTCTGCTTTCTTAAAGAACATGTCCAAGGCAGTTTAGACAGATATTCTCCAGGGAGATGAGCGACGAAGCAAACTTGTTTGCTGGCGTGGCATCGCATTGGATCAAGCATTGTGAAGTTGAAACTGACATCATAAAGTTGAAACAGGGTGTCAATTGATAAACACTGTAAATGCGAAACGTTGTAACTCAAAATGTTGCAAGTCGAGGACTGCCTGTAATCTTAAACTCCATGCAACACAAAGAACATAGTTTCCTAAAATTTGTGTAGCAAGTATTGGTTTGTGCTTTTCAGCCCCATAATACTTTTCCACAAATTCTAGCCCATATATTTCCAGTGCTCTACTTCTCTGAAACACCTCATATGTGGAACGGATGAACTCACACATGAGGCGCATACACAGAATCACACATGGTCCTCGTTGTTCTTTCAGGACAATTAACACTAAGCTGGAAATTCACAGGAGGCCCACATTTGATTATTAAAACTTTCTCTTCCTACGCAAGTTTACCTCATGTTTCAGATTCCTTCCTATACAGAATAAAAATCATGCCATGGCGCCACCCCCTGAAGATACAGATCTTCACTACAGAAGAATGTTTACTTTTTCTATTGGTACCATGGTTCTCCAAGGCAAATGTTACATGCAATATTTCTAACAGCAACTACTTCCTGCACACCACATTACTACTTTCAGACTGACTTCTAAACTGGGAACAATGCAACTGTAGCTGTTTAATTAATCAACGCTGTCACTCAGCACTGCTAACTAGCCCACATGAAGCACTGCACAGATATGGTCACACTACTTCTAATTTAAAAGTCAGCCCATGCAGGGCAGTACAGAGTGTTTTAAGTCAGTACTGCCAGGCTTGGTAAGTTTACCACACAGACGCAACCTGACTATTGCAGTTCACAGATACTGTACTGGATGCAAGCATGCACCTGATGTACACATTTTTTTTTTAAAGTACTTTCCATCATGGCTGAATATATATCCTGTGCCTCCTTAAGCTCCCATTTGAAGGCTAAAAGAATGGAGTAGCTGTAATATTCCAGTGGTTGCCTGTACATTTGAAACTAGTGGTAGCAACAGATGGAAGCAGGGCAC